CGTAACACAGATATAATTTCCAAATTTTATCGTAGGTAGGATTTGAACCTTAGACCTGCCACTTGGAAGATGACAACCCAACCACTACACTAGGATCGCTATCCTATTTTATTATTTATTATAAACACTTTTGTATATTTCTAGTATATAATTATTTTGAACTATTTGTCTTAAAAAAGATTTAAAATTATTTTGATTGTTATCTCCAAGAGTTTGTTTTTTTTATAGCTATTTTTAAAACTGTTAATAATATTAAGACAAATATTTTTTTAATATTTTAAAAAACTAATTAAAGCTTCTTGCTATTTTTTTTTGCATTTTCTATTAACATGTTTATAATATAAACAGATTCTTTTATTGAATATTTTAAAAGTTTTATAAAGTTTAAACTTCTAAGAATAGTTTTTTAACAAAATATTTTGGCTAATTTTTTGGTTAAAACTTTATTATAAATTTTTAAAATGTTTTTAGTAAGGTTATAAGTTTTATATTACTAAATTATAATGCTATTCACCTTCTTTTAATATTGAATAAATCTGAGATATTTTATATTTTTTAATATTACATCTGTTTTAATACAGATTTTAGCAAATATTCTAAGTATTTTTTAAGCTTTAAGTTTTGCTACTTGGATTAGTAAATATGTAATATTTAAGATTTCTAATACTGTTTTTTTCTTTAATCTTTAAAACATTTTGTTTTATTTTTTTTCTGTTATATTTTGATTTGATTTTTGATACTATTTTTTTTAATAAATTTTTTAAATTTATATATTTATATTTATTTTTTTTATAAATATTTTGGTTGAAATATTATGATTTAAACTGACTTTGGTGATTTTTTTTATTTTTTTTTAATAATTTAGCTTGTAATGGAACAGGGCACGACTAATAAATACTTTCTTAGACAATTAAGAGAATTTATTGAACAGACTAATTATTACAAGACTTGTAAGTATCACTTTTTATACCTTTTATACTTTGACTTATTCTATTATGATTACTAATGCAAGTTATTATTACTTAATTACATCATAATTCATGCAATGCTATTAACTATAAATTTAATTATAACTAACTACTGCAATTAATTAATTAATAACAGCATAATTAATGCATTAGAATTTACTTGGATCGGGAATTTACTTGGATCAGGAATTTTCTTAGATCGGAAATTTACTTGGATTAGAAATTTACTTGGATTGGGAATTTACTTGGATTAGGATCTGGTTACAACACAAGTCATGGGCTTGATTTGGGTCATGGTTTAGATCATGGGTGACTTGAGTCACAGGTTTAGCTATTACACTATTCTCCTCTTTTAATAGCTTTCTCTTTGTCTGTTTCTTGCCCCTTTTTTATATTGACATAGGCCCAGGTTTATTCAAATATTGCTGGTAATAGGTTTCGACTGCTTCTTGGGTGTGAACTACATTCTTGGCAGGTTCTCAAAATCTCTCATTAATATTGTAACCTTTCCAGTTGACTAGGTAGTGCACTTTCTTTTGCATAATTTTGGAGTCGAGTATCTTGTTGACTTCGAATTTAGTTTCGTCTTTAACGACCACTGGAGGTGGTGGTTTTGGTGATCTACTTGGAAACATGTTAATCATATAGGGTTCTAATAAAGAGATATGAAAAGTGTTGTGGATCTTGAATGATAAAGGTAACATTAAGCAAAATGCTACTGGATTAATTATTTCCAAAATTGCATAAGGACCCAGCCTTTGATAGTCTAGTTTGTCGGAAAGACATGTAATGTGAATGTTGTGGCATAACAGCCAGACTTTATTGTCAACCTTGAAGTCAGGACCCTTTTGTCAACATTTGTCCACATGTTTTTTATATTATTCTTGTGCTATTGCCAGTTCTCTGATAAGTGTTGTTCTTATTTGTCGTAATTGGGCAGCTTTATCTTCTGCAGCAAAAACTAAGAAGAATGATAGTGCTTGTAGGTTGAAGTTAGAGTGAAAACCATAGTTGGCAAAAAAAGGTGTAGTCTTGGTAGAAGTATAGATTGAATTATTATAGTCAAACTTGGCTAGGGAAAGCAAATCAACCCAGTTGTCCTAATAGTAATTAATTGTACACCTTAGGTATTGTTCTAATACTTGGTTTACTCTTTTGCTTTGGCCATCTGACTGAGAGTGATAGGCCATTGATAGGTTGATTTGGGTTCCCATAAGACTGAATAACTGCTTCCAGAATCTTGAAACAAATTGAGGCTCTCTGTCTGAAATAATAACTTTTGGAACTCTATGCAAACATAGTACTTCTTTCAAAACCAGGTGTGCAGTTTGCTCAGCACTGATGCTTTTATTGCATGCAATGAAGTATGCCATTTTTGTTAGCTGATCCACTACCACAAGGATTGAGTTGAATTCTGATGATAATGGTAGGTCTGTAATGAAGTCCAGAGAAATTGATTGCCATTGTCATGAAGGAATAGGTAAGGGAGCAAGTAACCTATAGAGGCAGTGTCTAGGGAGTTTAGACCTAGCACAAGTGTTGCAAGATTTTATATAGTGCCTTATGAAAGTTGAAAGTTTTGGTCACCAGTAGTCCTGTGATACTAATTCTATAGTTTTTGTTACCCCAAAGTGACCTGCTAATTTTGAATCATGCCTCAAACGCAATACCTCCAGTCTCTTTGTTGGGTTTGGTATATACAGTAGGTTCTCCCTGAACAGAAAACTGTCAACATATTGAAACTTATAATAGTCAGATCTTAAGCCCTGAATGTTTTTGTCTGGATGGTTTAACTGCTTAATCATATCCAGAACCAGAGGGTCTTCTTTCAATTGGTTGCAGATTTGGTTCAACATGATGATGTTGGTCAGTATTATATAAGTGGCATCTATGCGAAGGTTTCAAGGCTTCAATAATGTAGTATGTTGCTGTGCCACCTTCTCATCACTGTCATGAGATTGGTAATCTGGCCTTCTAGATAGGGCATCTGATTTACCCTGTTTCTTTCCCGATTGAAATACAATCCTAAAATTGTAACCTGAAAGAAGAAGGGACCATCTGGCCTGATGTCGACTAAAGGTTTTTGCTGTAGTGAAATATTGCAAATTTTTGTAATCACAATATACGGTAATTTTTTGTTGTGCTTCTTTCAGGTAATGTCACCACTGCTTAAAGGCCATTATTATTGCCAGAAGTTCCTTATCATGTACATTGTAGTTAATTTCTGCTGATGTGAATTTTCATGAATAATAGGCGACAAGATGGAGTTTCTCCTCATGTTGTGGCTGAGACAGGACTGTGCCCAGTGCATAATCTAAGGCATCTGTTTCAAGGTAATATGGTTTGGTTGAGTTGGCTTGTACTAAAATGGGGGCAGCAGTGAAAGCCTTTTTTAGGGAAGTAAAGGCTTGTTGGGCTGATGAAGGCCAAACAAATACTTTTTTTTATCCTTTTTTCTTGTTTTTTTGGTTAGGATAGTTAGAAAAGTGGTTAGATAGGCATACCCCTTGATAAAATGTCAGTAATATTTGGAGAAACCCAAGAACCACTGCACCTCTCAAACTGATGTCATGATAGGCCATGTGAGGATGCTCTTAATCTTGCTAGAGTCCATTTGAATTCTCTGAAGGTTATACAATAACCCATGAAGTCAATACTTTTCTTGTCAAAGTCGCATTTTTCTAATTTCACAAACAAGCCATTTATTTGTAGGCATTCCAGAACTATCTGTATATGTTGATCATGTGTTTCTTGGTCAGGTAAATATATCAAGACATCATTCAGATAAATAACAATGAATTGATCCAAAAGGTTTCTAAAAACATTATTCATTAAGTGTTGGAAAATGGCTAGAGCATTAGTAAGCCCGAAAGGCATCACTAGATACTTAAAATATCTATACCTTGTGCGAAAAGCTGTTTTCTATTTATTTCCTAGTTTTATTTGCACCAGGTTATAAGCCCTTCTTAGGTTTATTTTTGTAAAAACTTTGGTGGTAGCAAGTTGATTTAATAATTCTGGTATTAGAGGAAGTGAATAGCAGTTTCTAACTATAACCTGATTCAGGCCCCAGTAGTTGACACATATTTGTAGAGTTCCATCCTTTTTCTTGACAAAGAGTACTAGAGCCCCTGCTAGCAATTTGGAGTAACGAATGAAACCTTTTTCTAGATTTTCCTCAATATATTTCTTTAAGGTTTCAAGTTCTTGTATAAACAATTCGTAAATGGGACCCCAAGGAGGCTGCGAGTTAGGTAATAATTTGATTTCACAAATATATTGACAGTTTTTAGATAACTTGTAAGCTTCTTTCTCGCTAAAAACATCACTATATTCTTGGTACTTTTTTGGAATCACCGAGGGTGACCTCTCGTTAGTGTAATAGGGGCTGCCAGTCCTGGCAGGAAAAACTTGAACTACAAAAATTTGTTCTTTATTAGTTATGCTAGTTTCTGAAGATGAAAAAAGATGAGTTTTACAGGTTGGGTTTGAAAAAGTGATGGTTCGTTCATGCCAGTTTATTTCAGGATTATGTACTGTTAGCCAAGGCAACCTCAGTATCACTTTGTAGTAGGAAGAAGAAATAAGGTTAAAGGTTATTTCTTCATAGTGTTCTTGTAGATATACAGATATCGGCCCAGTTTCATGTATTACAGACTCTGATGAAAGCTCCCAACTATCAACTATCTCAACTGTTAATAGTGACTTTTTTTTAAGAATAGGTAAGTTGAGTTCTTGAGCCAGAGAAAAATCCAAGAAGCATGCTGAAGCCCCAGAATCAACTAAAGCTTGCATGCTTGTTTGAGTTCCATTAGAGAGGTATATATGTAACTCTGAGGTCAATGCTGTTACAGGATGGTTGTTAAGTAGTGGGTTTGCAGGAGGTAAACTATTGGTATGGTCCAGCCACAGCCCCCTTACTGCAGCTGGGGCTGTTTTTTTTCTGACAGTTCTTCTGAGGAGACGATAGCATCAATTCTTGGTAGTAAGTTAGGTTTTTTGAGGCAATTTTTGACAATATGATCTGGGTCACTACAATAAAAACAGAGGTTATTTGTACAATGTCATCTTTTCTCAGCTGCTGAGAGTGGCTTGATCTTCATAATATTAATTTGCATTGGGTTTTCTTTAAAAGGTGCTGACCTGGTAATGGTCTAAGGTTGATACTGTTTTGCTGAGAGGTCTCATAAGCATTCTTGCCTATGCTCAAACAGTCAGTTATCACACCTAACAGCTTTCAAAATAGTGTCATTCAGTGAGGTTGGGTCTTCGATTGTAAGGAGCAAATCCTTTACATTACTATGAAGCCTACTATGAAATTGATCGATTAGTGCTGCTTTGCCCTAATCCAAATTACTTGCAATTTGCCGAAATTCAGAGGCATAACTTGAGGCTGGTCTTGTTCCTTGGACAAGCTTTCGAATTTTGTTGGCTGCAGTTCTGGACTTTTCTGAGTCACCAAACATGGCTTCAAATTCCTTGACCAGGTCTTCAAAAGTTTCAAGTAATGATGATTGTTTCTTCAGGAGTGGAGTGAACTAGGCAAGGGCTGGTCCTGCCAGTAAGCTTCCCAGAAGACCTACTTGCACTTAATCCTTGGGGTAATGGTTCGGTTGCATACATATAACAAGACAAACCTAATTTAAAAAACCCTTAAAGTTTGTTTGAGACCTGTCAAATTTGTCAAGAAGGCTAACTTTTGGTTCTTTGTGTTGGTTATCAATTCTTCCTTAAGCATGAAGATAGTTTAGGGCATTCCTAAGATCCATGTTGTCTTGCTGCAAGGCTTGATTGTTGAGTTGGAGTTGGTTTATCGCAGCTAATATGTCACTGAGATCGGGTTGGTCTGCCATTTATGTCTCTTGTGTTATATGTTTCATTTGTTTTGATTTTTTTTTTTTTTCTTTTTAATATTAAAACTATATACTATGCTAATAATAGTTGATTTGAGAGTTGACTATTGAGTTTATAGGAGCATACCTCTAAATGGTTTAATTGCTATTGGATTAGTACCTGTTGCAAGAAAAGGATAGTCTGTTCAAACTGTAATAGAATGAGGCATGACTAATAGATACTTTCTTAGACAATCAAGAGAATTTATTGAACAGAATAATTATTACAAGACTTGTAAGTATCGCTTTTTATATCCTTTATACTTTGACCTATTCTATTATAATTACTAATGCAAGTTATTACTACTTAATTACATTATAATTCATGCAATGCTATTAACTATAAATTTAACTATAACTAACTATTGCAATTAATTAATTAATGACAGCATAATTAATGCATCAGAATTTACTTAGATCAGAAATTTACTTGGATCAGGAATTTTCTTGAATCGGGAATTTACTTGGATCAGAAATTTACTTGGATCTGGAATTTACTTGGATCAAGATCTGGTTACAACACAAGTCACGAGCTTGATCTGAGTCATGGTCTAAATCATAGATGGCTTGAGTCACAGTTTTAACTGTTACATAGCTAGTTTATTTTTTTTTAAAAAATAACTCTTTTTGGTTTTTTAACTTTATTAATACTTTTGTCAAGCATTACAACAAGTATACAACTGACTATATATGTAATTTTTCTATATTACCTATTTAAAAAGTCCATCTGAAGGTTCCTTCTTAGTTACTATATATAATATCTTTGCTTAGATGTTTCATTTAAATCCTCTAATTTGAAACTCTTATACTAACTTCATTAGATTACTTGTATCTAGATTCTTATATCAACTTTAGAACAATTTTATCCTTAAGGTAAACCTATCAGAGTAAGCTATATATTTCCTATCTACTGCTAATCTGAATTTTCTGTTATGGTCAAGATTAATACTTGCATTTAGAATTATTTATTAAACTGCTATTACCCTTATAAAGTTTATCCAAATTTTAATACCTAACTTTCTAATATCTTCTTCATCATCTCTTACTAGCTATAACTTAAAACTAACTGACTCTTCAAACTCTCAATTCAGATAGCCAAGTATGGTATACTTATGTATTCTTTTTCTCTGATAATTTTGGCAACCTGGCTAATGCATATGCTTCTCTTATAACCTGTTGTCCAGTTTATCTAACAATTTCTATAAAAATGTTTCATAGGCTTCTATTAGTCCAACAGTACTATCGAAAGTTTATGCTATCTCTTTACTCAGAATTTTTAAGTAGGTTTCTGTCTTCTTGGTTTCTTAGCATATGCCTAATGGTCTTATCATAGATTTGCACTAAAGTCTTATATAACATCAGCTTTTCACATTTCTCTATATATATATAATATTATACTTTGCATAGATGCCTCAAGCTTCCAATGTCAGGTGGGGTCTGACTTGATATATCTAAGATTACAAATGCCCAAAACCCAACTGATCAGCAAAAGAAGTTACTATAACACAAGTATAATTTCTAAAATTCATTATCTGTAGAAATTGAACATTAAACCTGCCACTTGGAAGTTGACAACCTATCTATTTTACTAGATTGCCACACCTCTAATTCAACTAGTTTATAATCAGATTTCTTTATCTATTTTTTTAATTAATAAATTTATTTATTTTAATTTTTTTTATTAATTTATTTAAAAGGCTTATTAGTATTTTGTTTTGTTTTTTATTAATTATTTAATATCTTTTTTATATACTATCTTTTATTTTTTATTTTTTTGTTTTTTAACTTACTAATTTTTTTTACTTGAAAAATATTTTACTAATCTTTTAAGTTTTTAATAAGTTCTTAAGTCTAATTTGTACTAAGTCTATATATATTTTATATTGTTTATTTTATTTTTTTTTAATATTAAGATGAGGCCTTGCTTATATCTTTATTAATAATTTTAACTGTATATTTTAATACAAAAGTACTAAAATAAACTAAGGTTGTTTGAAACAAAATAAAAATTATATGCAAGAATAAAAGTTCAGATTAGTTTATTTGTAACTTAAACTGACTATAGTAATTAAGATCTACATAGATTTGAAGTATTAGTATATAGTTAGAAGGAATATTGTACTTAATTTAGAGAATTGACTAAATGTTAAGTTTTCTAATTGCTTGACTAATTAGTAAATATATGTTGGATTGTAAATAAATTAATCTGCAATGTCATATAGGCATGAGTATGTATAGGCTTAGTGATATTGTTTAAAGACTTTATAATATTAAAGTTATGTATCAGTATTACTAATATTGTTTTAGTATCTAAATAGAATTTGATTATGTTTTTTTTTAATTGAAGAATTTAATATAGTATAGTTTTTAAATTAGTTTATAAATTTTTTATTAATGTGTAGAAGTATTTAAATTGCTAATTGTAAAGCTAGTTGTAAAGATATATTAAAGTTATAAATAACTTCAATAAGTAACTTAAATATAAGACTTTAAGTATAATGTCTATAAAATATAGATTATATTAAAATAGTATATAATATATTATTTATTGATATATTTTTTTTTTTTAATATTAAGGTAGATATATGCAACTTAGAATTTTATTGATAGTATATATTGACTAGTATCTGTTGATATAACAGACACAGAGGCAATTATAGAAAGAGTATACAATTAGTTACTTGTATAACTTTAGTTATTGTCTAATTTAAATAGTTTGCTTAAAGGTTTTATACCAGTTGCTATATCTAGGACCTACCTATAGATTCTCTATTTAAACACTCTAATCTCATATCTATTACACCTTACCAATGACTCTGATAAATCTAATAAAGATATGTTATAATCATTAAGTCATACTTAACTTTGTAATAAATCTACTAGAACATTTTGTATCCCATACTTACAGCTTATCTAGTATTGCTTTGGCCTAAACTATCACTTGCAGTTAGGGCTAACTATTAAACTACTATACTCTTGTAAGGTTTATCCAAAATCCTGGTATTTATTTTTTAACATCTTCTTTATTATCTCTTATTAACTGCTACTTAGGACTGACAGAACTCTTTAGACTTTCAATCCAAATAGCCTAATGTAATATATTTTAGTATTTTTTTCTTTTGGCAATTCTAGCAGCCTGGTTAGTTATATGCTTCTCTATACATCTTGTCATCTGTCTATCTGTCTATCTCTTTAGGAATGTTTTATAAGCTTCTATTAGTTTAACAGCATTGTCAAAAGTTTTGTGCTACCTTCTTACTTAGGATTTCTAAATAAGTTTCTGACTTTTTGGTTTCTTTACTTTCTGTACTTAGTGGTTTTATTGTAAATTTGCACTAAAGTCTTATATAATACTGGTTATTAACATTGCTTTATGTGAGTGTAATATTACACTTTGCATAGATACTCTGAGCTTCTATTCAAGATGGTGCAACTAAAGATTACAGATATACTAATTTAACTAATTTACAGTAACAGTTATTATAACACAAATATATTTTTCAAAATTCATTATTCATAAGATTTGAACTCTAGATCTGCCACTTGGGAGTTGATAATCTGACCATTTTACTAGATTACTATACTCTGTTTATTAATGTATTTATTTTTTTTATTTAGATTATTTATATTGTTTTTTATAAAATTTAATTTAATATTTATTTTTTTATACTTATTTATTTTTTAATTATATAATTGTTTTAGCTTATTAAAATTTTTTTTTGTTTTTTTTAATTACTATATTTAAAATTTTCTTTTTTAAAATATTTTTTTTTGTTATTGTAATTTTTTTTTCAATATTAAGATAAGGCCATACAAAATTAATTAATTGGTTTTCATAACCCGGCCGGGTCAAAATTTAAAAGCTTATAAAAAATTTTTATATATGTTTTAATAACCGGGTGGGTTTTTAAAAAAAAATTTTATAAAATTTATATATGAAAAATTAAAAAAAAAAGCCGGTCGGCCGGGTCTGATCAAAAGTTTCATGTTATGAAAACCAAGATATTAAATTTGTGTGGCCTAACTTTGTTGGTCTTTTAACTTTTTATTAATACTTATATTAGGCACATGTTTATATATATATATATTTTTTAAATATTAAGGTGAGTACTTGTGATCCAAGATTTTATTAATAGTATATTTGACTAATAGTTGTATTACAACTACAGGAATCAACCATAGAAAGAGTGTACAACTAGCTACTTATACAACTTTAGTTATTGTCTAATTTAAGTAGTTTACCTGAAGGTTTTACACTAGCTGCCATATCTGAAACCTACTTGTAAGTTTTCTATTTAACTACTCTAGTTTTTGTATTTACCTATCTACCTCTGCTTACCAACAACTCTGGCTAATGCTAGTAAAAATATGCCATGATCACTAAATCTTTAAAGCAGTTTTTTTAGAACCTTTAACCTTATACTAAACCTTCTATAATCTTCTGTATTCTATTTTTACAGTTGACCTAGTATTGCTATAACTGAGACTAATACTGATGATTAGAGCATATTATTAAACCATTATGCTCTTGTAAAGTTTACCTCAATCCTGGTACTTACTTTACAACATATCCTTACTACTTTGGTATTTAATTCAAGTTTCACCAAGCTGCTATTTCAGATAGCCCAAAAAGGTAGGTTAAAACT